ATCTCAAAGTGGCGGGCGCGAGCCAGCACCTGTTACAGATGGCTTTGCGCAGTGTAAAGGCGTTTCCAGTCATACAAAAATCAAGTCGACCAAGACATATCGCACCACTGACCAAACCAACGAACGGGCCGCGAAAGCGGAGCGGGCTTTAGGACGGAGCTCGATGGCTTCTCTCTGGCCTTCCGCTGCAGCGATGGCGCCATGCTGCCAGCGGCGGACGTAGTACATGCGCAAGACAGATGGCTCGAGTCCAGCTCTTGACAAGCAAGCGTCGCTGCTGTCACTACCCGATGGCGCCGCGCGTGGACTATGATATATATGCACATACAAGTAGGACGAGTGAGTGAGGGATGGGCGAGCAGTCGGCGAAGAAGACGACGCCGCCAATGGCGCCACATGATGGAGATCTCACGACGCATCGAACATGAGATCCCGCATGCGTTGAAGAACGATGTGTAATCGAACGACGTAGGGCCGGATTTTGTACCTCGTAAGCGCCGAACGCAAGCACCGTCGGCGATATCAGCCACCGCGCTGCAATGCGACCGCTGGACGCACGTGCACGCGTCGGTGGTGGGCCATGGGACCAGATTGCAGCCACTTGGCTCGCCGTCGCAAGTGATAGCGTAGAAGCCGAGCGCCACTCCGTGGCGAGTGCAGCAGTTCATTGGTCTGCCGCAAGGCAAAGTAGCGCCGATACACGCCACTTGAAGCGTTGTCGGAAACCGAGCTGCCTGCCTCTGCGATGAACCTGGTGCGCAGAGCGTGTGCTGAGACTTGAAGCGAGGCCAAGTCGAGAGGCAAGTCGAGTCGTACGAGAGAGAACGGCGGTTCTGTATATAATGCTACTGCTTACGCTCGCTCGCCACGGATACGTCGAGCGAGCTGGATGTCTTTCGGCATGATGGTGACGCGCTTGGCGTGGATGGCGCACAAGTTGGTGTCCTCGAAGAGCCCGACAAGGTAGGCTTCGCACGCTTCCTGGAGCGCGAGCATCGCTGTTGACTGGAAGCGCAGGTCTGTCTTGTAGTCCTGCGAGATCTCGCGCACGAGGCGCTGGAAAGGCAGCCGGCGAATGAGCAGCTCCGTGCTCTTCTGGTACTTGCGGATCTCGCGCAGCGCGACCGTGCCCGGGCGGAAGCGGTGCGGCTTCTTGACGCCGCCGGACGACGACATTCGATTGATCTGGTCCGAGGCGAGCTGCTTCCGGGGCGCCTTTCCGCCCGTCGACTTGCGCGACGACTGCTTCGTACGGGCCATCGCGGCTGCTGGTTGCTGACGGCTTCTATGCTGGAGACCTTTGGCCGTCCGGATAGTTTGACCCTTCGGATAACCGGAGCCGGTTGGTGCGTGAACCGGTTTAATAGTACAGCACTGTAGGTATGCATTGCATTCGGGGATGCGAGCCCAGAAGACCCAAGCAGCAAGGAGCTCGTCGTGGGCTTGCAGGCGACGAGAAGGGCAAAACGTGGAGCGAATGCACCTGCTGCGTGGAGGAGGGAGCAGCGCGTTAGACCTAGAACACTGGTCCAAGCTTTGAAATATGGACGTCAATGCATCTCTCTCTTCATGGGCCCATGCCTTCACAGCGAACGACGATCTTGATGGATTCCATGTCAGCGCTAGATTTGCGTACTTTGATGTGAGAGTTGGTATTGCATGGTGTCCAATACAAAACTACTGATTCATATATGCAATATACAGATACAGCCATTCGCCGAAGCTTCATTTGGGAACATGGCTCGGCGCTGTCTTGCGTTCACGGGGCAGGGAAGCCAGAAGGTCGGGATGGTCAAGGACCTCCTCGCGCGCTGGCCGCAGCATGTGGCGCCGGTCCTCGAGGAGGCCGAGGCTGCCATGGGGACCCACCTAACGCGCCTCATGACCGAGGGTCCGCAAGCCGAGCTCACCCACACGTCCATCGCCCAGCCCGCGATCCTGACGCACTCGTACGCGGTACTGCAGGTGCTCAAGGTAGATGCTTCTGCGTGCATGCTATCTTGACACTCATAGCACTGTAGCACGAAATGGGCTTCTCGGTCGCCGACTGCGAGTACGCGCTCGGCCATTCGCTCGGCCAGTTCTCGGCGCTCGTGGCCACGGACGCCATGCGCTTCGCCGACGCTGTCAAGCTCGTGGTACGTCCTTGCAATATTTCCGTGGATATACCGCTCATGGCGATCAGCACTACCGCGGCAAGGCCATGATGCAGGCCATGGAAGGTGCGTCGGATCGAGGTGCGATGGCTGCCCTCTTGCCTGCGACCGCCGAGACAGCCGACGCGATCTGCGCCCGCGCCCAGAAAGAGACCGGTCTCGTTTGCCAGGTCGCCAACTACAACTCGTGCAAGCAGGTGAGTCGAGCGGCATGAGCGCACAACATGGTCTCATCCTGTATGCAGGTCGTCATTAGCGGCAACGCTGTGGCCGTCGACGCAGCGATCAAGATGGCCAAGGAGTTCAAGGTGCGCCGCGCTGTGCTGCTCGACGTCAGCGCGCCGTTTCATTGCGCGCTCATGCAGCCGGCGGCCGACATACTGGCACGCGCCCTCGAGAAGATCAAGTTCAGCGAGCCGTCGATCCCCGTCATCTGCAACGTCACGGCCGAGACGTTGGCAGTCGAGGACATGCGCGCGCGCCTGAGCTGGCAGGTCGTGGCCCCTGTCAAGTGGAGCCAAAGCGTCGACTTTTGTCTGCACCACAACGCGTCGCAGTTCCTCGAGCTTGGTTACGGCGGCGTGCTCACAGGCCTCATCTCCCAGCACTCCAAGGACGCCAGCTGCCTGTACGTTTCAAAGCGTGGGTCCCACAAAGGCTTATAAGGTGTTCTAGGTCGCTGGGCACCATGGTAGAACTCGAAGCCTTCATGGCTGCCAAGTAGACATGGCGCGGATAGCATGTCAACTCGACGTTATGTGATTGCGCAGAAGTTGAACATGAAGGCAACAGAACCCACCTATATTCACGGTGTAGCGTAGCGTCGACGCGCCAGTGCTGCTCTATTCCTCCAACGCCGGGCGCTCACCAATCTCATTCTACATGGAAATCATGAGTCGTCGTGGTCGCATGACGAGAAGCCGTACCTTGACGTACACAAAGGGCCCGCCGATCGTGTTTTGCCGGGCAACGAGCACCTTGTCTTCGGCCTTCAGGCGCTTGATGGCCTCGCGGCGGCCCCAGTCCTCAAAGTCCGTGTCCGGCGCGTTGCTCAAGCCGATCCAGAGCAAGATCGGGCCGCCGAGGATGCCCGCCCACGTCGAGCGCTCGTAGCCCTTGCGCACGAAGACGTGGGTACCCTAGCGCAGTGGCAGGTCAGACGCGTCGGCTCGCCCATGCGGCGTACGTTGTTGGTGATCATGGCGCTCTCCGCCTGGTGGTGCGGCGCCGCGTGGCTGGCGAATCGGCGCACGGAGCTCACAACGCGTTGCATCTTGACCGCTTCTTTCCTCGTGGACCACGAACACTTAATGTCGGCCGCCCCAGGTGCGGCGTATTAAATTTCCACACCGAGCATATATCTTGCAAGGTGTTTTATTCGGTCGAAAACAAAAATCCGCCAATGGCCTTGGCGCAAGGTTCGACTTTTGGCCAATGGCATCGCGCTGAAACGCTGGGCACGATAAGATGCGACGGGTTCTACCAAGTCGGAACAAGAGAGTCGCAACTGGAAGTCACCTACTGTCCTTGCACCGCGTCATGAGCTCCAGCGCAACCTTGTCCGTCCTGACCGTCAATGACGTCTACGACGTCGTGCCCAACGAGCATGGCATCGGAGGTACGTCATGCAACCATCCCAGCGGACGACCACGAGCATGATCATGTCCAGGCATGGCCGAGATGGCCACGATGCTCAAGCGTGAGCGAGCGGCGATTCCGCCTTCGCACACGACGCTGACCACGATCAACGGCGACTTTCTCTCGGCGTCGCAAGCGGGCGAATTATTCTACAAAGGGTACGGTCGCGTCTTCAAGGTCCTGACTGCAACATGCATGGCGACCGCGCACATGATCGACCTTCTCAACCACATGGACATCGACTTTGCCGTCTTTGGTACGCTTGCGACCATCGACGTGTTGTTTTGACGGCGGCGTAGGCAACCACGAGTTTGACTTTGGCGCCGACATCTTGGCGCAGCGCGTCCAAGAGTCCAAGTTTCGCTGGTTTGGCTCCAACGTCAAGGAGAGAGCGACCGGCGGCCTCTTTGCCAACGCGACCGACACGCTCCTTCTTCCGATCGGTCCAGACGGTACATCAACACTCGCAAATGAGCGTACTGGCGAGCGCAGGACGGTCTAGGCGCACTCAAGCTGGGCATCTTCGGCATCTGCACGCCCGAGACGCCGCAGCTCTCATTTCCGGGCGACCGCGTCGTCTTT